GGGCTGGCTGGCATGTGGTGCTGGGGGATTGAACCGTGGTCCCTTTGTTTTGCTAAGCTTGTTCTAAGTAGGTGCTTTAGACCACTGAGCCATCTCACCAGCCCCGACTGCCATCTACTTTTACAACGAGCATTTGACTTCCACAAAGCCAAGAACCTCTGCCTGTCTCTTCTCTTTTGTGAGAGTCTTTACAAAGTGGAATACAAAATGTGTTGAATACTACTACAAACTGTTATCCAACAGAAAGGCAGACTTATAAAAACAGTGTGGGGGCTGGCAAGATAGCTCAGTAGACTAACGCACCTGCTTAGGCATGCATAGGGACTGTAAAATTGATCTCTGGCACCACATGCCCCGCCAGCCCCACCCCCAGTGCGGGCTGAGCTGACCGCAGTCTTGGCATGGTGGCACATGCCTGTAATCCCAGCACTGGGGAGGCTGAAAGCAGGAGGATCACAAGTCTGAGCTGTATAGTGAGACCCTGTAACAACCAAATACATACACACATACATAAATAAATAAAAAATAAAAAGTGTGTCCACATCTACTGTATTCACCAGATCTTGCACCATGTAACTTTCAGCTTTTCCCTAAAGTCAAAATGAACATGAAAGAGGAATGTTTTGAATAGATTCAAGATATCAAGACAGACAAAACAGTATAACTAAAGATGTAAAGGACAACTGCCAAAATTACTTCAGATAGTAACAAGAATGACAGGACAACTGTGTTCCAAAATGGGGAGTATTAGAAGGAATCTTAATGGTGATGTGTATTTATTGTAATAGGTTGTTTTTTTTTTTTTTTTGTACCTGGAACTGGGCTCATGACCGTATGCTTGCCAGGCATGTACTGTGCCACTGAGCTTTATCTCTGGCCCTGTAATACCTTTTTATTTAAATACATGCCATATTTTTCTATCACACCTCATATATACCCATGTAATATGGACTTTTTTTTTCCTTCATTACCAAGGATCAAACTTGAGACCTTGTGCTTGCCAAGCAGGCACTGCGCCACTGAGCTACATCCCCAGCCCCATGGACTTTTTATTTATTTATTTGTTTTTTGCATTTTAGGACAGGGTCTACAGGGTCTCACTGCACAGATCAGAACCACAGTGATCCTCCTGTTCACAGCCTCCCAAGTGCTGGGATTACAGGCATGAACCACCACACCCACTCTCAATTGCTATCTCAGTGTGCCCCAGGGGCAGGGCCGGCACAGCAGGCCAGATCAAACTGTGGGTACATGTCTGCCTAAGCAGGCACTTTAATTCACTGTTATCTGGCCAGCCCTGGACTTTTTAAACTTTATATTGTAATATAATTTTTGAAACAAGAGAGAAAGAAAACTGCAGGTTGAAGGATGGAGAAAAATAAAGAGAAATCTTAACTTAGTATGTTATCAATATTTAAATCTTAAAAATCGGAAACTGTATCAACATGTTCTTAAAAATCTACAAAGAGGACAAGCCATATAGCTCAGTAGACTAAAGAGTCTGCTTAGGCAGAGCACAGGGGCCAGGGTTCGATCCCAGCTGTGCTGGCCCTACCCCCAGGGCATGCTGAGATGGTGATGATTGAGACTGGGCATAGTGGTACATGCCTGTCATCCCAGCACTTGGGAGGCTGAAAACAGGAGAAGCACTAGGAGTCTGATCTACACAGTGAGACCCCTGTACTAAATATTTTTTTAAAAAAGCTAGAAGCAGGCCAGGGATATAGCTTTGAGGCACAACTGCCTGCCTAGCAAGTGCAAGGTCTGGAGTTCGATTCCAGGTACTGCCCCCCTCCCCCCCGCAAAATCTAGAAGCAACCAGGCATACACCTGCACTCCCAGCACTCAAAAGGCTGAGGCAGGAGGACTGCTGCAAATTCAAGACTACCCTAAGCTACATAGTGAGGTCAAGGCCAGCCTAAACTCAGACCAAGACCTTATCTCAAACAAACAAACAAACAAAAAAAGATTTGCTCTGTTTGTTTTTAGAGGACTGGAGTATGAATCTGATTTAAGGTTCTCATAATAATGACACCCTCACTCACTCAAGTTTTGGTATATTTCCTTCAATGTCAGTGGGGGTAGTAGAAATTAGAGAAGCATACTAGGAATTACAGCCAACTTTAGAATACCCAGTGAAGAGTATTTTCTAGGAAAAACAGATAAGAACTGCTGCCATGGAAAAGTAATTAAATAATAATAATAATGTGTAGTAATAGCCAACAATTATTAGGCACATACTATTCTCCAGGTACACTGTTCTATGCACTTAGCAAATATTAATTATTTAACCTCACCTGAATTATTGGAATAACTTGCCTTCCTAAAAAATCTATTTTATACGAGGCAGCCAATGATCTTTTTACAATAACTTGTAACATCATTCTTTTGTTCAAAACTCTGTGGTTCCCATCTCCCCCAGAGGAAAATGTCCAAGCTCCAGAGGACGTAGACCTCACTGTCTCTCTGACTTCATCACTCAGTCCCCTCCCATCCCATATGCCAACCCCACCTCTGAGTCACCTTACTCCACCTCAGAATCATTCTTGCCGCTCCCTCTCCTTTAATACTTGCCCAAGATATGCCTGTATGACCTCATCACCCACTTTCTTCCATTCTTTGTCCAAATCAGTAAAGCCTTTCTCTGACCACTCTGATCCACCTCAACAATACATGCACAGAGCCAGAATTACTACAAAACAAAAAACCTTCCCTCACATTTCAAATGTTTATTACAAACTACCCAATTATTTTTCTTAATCTTAAAACTTTAATATGATATGCTAATATATATGAGAAATATATATACCTGCAGCTGCTGAAGATCATCTTCCTGAATGTTCTGGGACAAATTGTATATCTAGAAAACAAAAATTCAGATTGATATTATTCTGTCTTACTTCAAATAGAAGAAAATGAAGTCTGTTCAAACAGTAATATTATCTGGCTGTTGGAAAACTGTAAGGCTAAAATCATGAAATGCTTCCTTAGCTTTCTTAGGTGGTTACCAAATCTACATTTTCTAAATGACATAATTGATATAATTTCAATTTCCATGTTTTTGGCTTTTCTTGAAACATGTTATACACAATTTATCATCAAACTGGAAAAATAGTTTAGCTCATCTTGAGTTTCTAAGAGCTTAACTTAAATGTGTATCTAAAAAGGACGTTTCTGGGCCAGCCAAATAGCTCAGCAGATTAAAGCACCTGCAAGCAGGCTCAGGGGCTGGGGGTTCGATCCCAGACGTACAGTGCCAGTCCTGCCCCTGGGGCATGCTGAGATAGCAATTGAGACTGAGCGTGGTAGTACATACCTGTAATCCCAACACTTGGGAGGCTTAAAACAGGAGACTCACTAAGAGTCCGATCTAGTAGTGAGACCCTGAACACCCTGTAGACCCTTCCCTAAAATACCAAAAAAAAAAAAAAACCCAAAAACTAGATGTCTTCCCTTTACTGCATTCCTTTTTTATTTCCAAGTCACATGGTTTTACCTGAACAGAACTAGTCATGGTACTCAGAGCAAAGATGGTTGCACAGTCTTTCACAGTTGACTGACTGTCAAATGCCCCCTGGGTATCCATTAGAACAACTGCAACCTGAAACAGAAAAGAAATAACACAAATGGGCTGTGCATGATAGTCTACATGTATAACTGTAGCACCTGAGAGGCTGAGGCGGAAGGATCACTGAGTTTAAGACCAGCTTGGACTACAAACTGAGCTCATGACCGGCCTCAACTACATAGGAAAACCCTATCTCAAAAAAAAATTTTGGCTCAGTAGAATAAGTGCTGCCCTGGCAAGTGCAAGGGCCTGAGTTCAATCCCCGTTCTGCTAAAAAAAAAAAAAAAAATTTGAAGGGCCAGGGAGATAGCTCAGTGGCGTAAGCACTTGCCTGGCAAGCACAAGGTCCTGAGTTCTATTCCCAGTACAAAAAAAAGGAAAAATAGAAATGGATTAAAGTGAGAAGGAGGGACATATACAGGACATATTTGTTACATGAGCCTTACACCTCTGCTCATGGGTCCTAAAAAAAGTCCCACTACTTAGGTTCTTTGCTCTGACTCAAGCACTTTGCTGGAGATAGTGTATCTAACCTGGTAAGATGCTACAAAACAAGCATAAGGAACAACATGGATTGCCCCACAATCAAAAAGGCCAATAAACTCATTAGCTCATCACCCAGAGTGTCTTTGAACGTTTTGTTGTTGCTGATATCATTGAAAAAGAAATTTAACATACTGATTTAACTCTATGGGCTGAAGTATTTTTCACATTTATCTGCAAAGCTATATTCATTTCTTAAATTTCTAGTTTTCTAGTTATTGAACATGAGAAAATTAACATTCAGGGGCTGGTAAGATGGCTCAGTGGTCTAAAGCACCTACTTAGAACAAGCTTAGCAAAGCACAGGGACAGCAGTTCAATCCCCCAGCACCACATGCCAGCCAGCCCCGCCCCCTGGTGGACTGAGCTGGTCACACACACACACACACACACACAAATAAATAAAAATTTAAAAAAAAATAAAGACTCTACCAAATAAATAAATAAATAAATAAATGATTTTAAAAAAAAATTAACATTCAACTCAACCTTCACAAAAGATGAAACACAACAAAGATGTCATATGGTGGATCTAGGCTAACATTACACCCTATAAAATATAAGGGCAAAGGGAGAGGAAGGGAACAGAAAGGAGGAAGTGTTATATATATTTATCAATGCCCCATGATGAATGTAACCATTATGCATATACTAAGTAGTACATGTAAAAAATATTTGAAAATAAAGATACCTATATGACAAAGCTTCACAAAACCTCAGGTTTTCTAAAATGGCCAATAAGAGAAAAGAAAGGGCTGCAAGGTCAGCCTTTCAAGGTCAGTGAAGACTCGGGACATAGGAGAACCTGTACTGTAACATTATGTAACTCAGTTGTGCTCCAAATTTTCTGATCAAGATTATGGAGCCATACAGGAATGTGATCGATGATGTATAGTGTGCCTGAGGAGAGTCACAGGGAGAGAAAAAAACATTCTCTCAGGCTTTCACAGAGAGCAAATTGGTCAAGCATGGCCATGACTCATCCTCACAGCTGACACTGACAAAGGATCTACAAAGTGTGGTACAGGACTACAGGATAAATCCTCAGAGTACTTGACTAACCTTATCAGATACAAAAGTTACATTTCTTGTTATATAGGTCTTGCTTTATCTTGGTCTTAACCATCCAGCAGAAAAGTATAAAAATGAGGTATATAAAGTAAAGCCATATTAATATGATGAGCTGTAAAAAGCTCAAGTCAATAACTTCTGAGGATAACCCACTAATATTATAGACTGCTAGACAGTGTTGGATTGTTTAGCTGAATTTAAACACCTATAGTATTTAGATGCCAACAGAATCCTCCTCTGATAGGACTAAAAAAGGGGATACAAAGGAAAGATCATTTTGTATTTATATATACAAAATAGTTGGGATAGATATACAATTACTTCCACTTAATTCAATGAGAAGAAAGAGGTGCACTAATAGTGTTTGGACAGGATATCCTGTCTGTTTCTTGTACTATGGATAACCACTAAGAAGATAACAATGTACAATGTATTGATTATCAAAACTGTCCTATTAATCAGCTTTGAAACTGTCTCATTCATATTTGTTTCTCAATAAAATTACAATAAAAAAATAAAAATTCTAAAATAAAATACAATAAAATGGCCAATGAATCTATTTAATGTAAACATGAGATTTATGTAAAATGTTAACTTCACAATCCTTATATAACTTTCTATTTAGTATGCCCAGTCATATAACTTAACATAAATCTTCAGATCTGTACATAACGTAGGTAAAGGAAAAGACAAGGTTCAACACACTCAAAAAGATAAGTACATTTGTCTACTGCAAATGTGTACTAGTAAAAGTTAAAAAGCAAAAACAAAATTTGTCAAATGAGTGCCTGACTTCACTGAAACCTAGATTACTGCAAAAGCCAGCAGGGAAGCTTTTTGTGGGATTTTACTGAGCCTTAGAAGAGAAATTTCATAGTCAAGAAAGATTTAAAGTAAGAGGTATAGTAATAAATACAAATAATATGTAACAACTTTCACTCTTAGAAATAACATTTAATAATGTATATTCAGGTATTAACACATTTATCTTTGAGTTTATGTTCATTATCCTAATTAACACTATGGGGGAAAAAAAAAACCAAAACACTGCAGTAGAATAGGTAATGTAAATTCAAGCAAAAGAGAATCCTGGGTAGAAAAGATAAAAATCAAGTTTCTGGCCTAAACACTGAAACCCTGTGATAGAAAATGTTATGTTCACCTTCTACTGATTTGTGATGAAGGTACTATCAAGATACATGGACAATTAAGACTAATCATGGCTGGACCTACAGATATTCACATACAAAAGAATGATATTGGATTTCTATTTTGTATCATGAACAAAATAACTCAAAATAGATCAGATTCAAATGTAAGAACACCACAAACTCTGCAAAGAAAACATACACCTAAGGGGGCCAGATAGCTCAGCCGACTAAAGCACCTGTTTAAGCAGAGCACAATAGCCGGAGTTCAATCCCCAGAGTGCCAGTGTGCCATGCTGGCCCCACCCCCAGGGTGAGCTGAGATGGCAATTGAGACTGGGTGTGATGGTGCATGCCTCTAATCCCAGCACTTGCAAGGCTGAAAACAGAAGAATCACTAGGAGTCCAATCTGTGTAGTGGGACCCTGTAGGCCCTGTACTAAATACATTTGAAAAAAAAGGAGAAAACATACACCAAAATCTCAGTTACTTTATTTTAGGCAATGGGTTTGTTAGATATAACACCTAAGACACAAACAAGCAAAGAAAAATAAACATCAAAATTAAAAACATGACTGGCAAGCATGAGCCTCTAAATTTGATTCCCAGTACAAAAAACAAAAACAAGTGTTTGTACTTGAAGAGACACTATCAAGAAAAGTGAAACGGCGGCCCATAGAATGAGAGAAAGGTCTAGTATCTGCAATGTATCAGGAAATTCTACAACTCAAAAATAAAGACAAGAGACAGATGTGATGCTACATGCCTATAATCCCAGCTACTCAGAAGGCTGACACGGGAGGACCTCAAGTTAAGGGCAACCTGGGCAACTCATCAAAGCTGTCTCAAAATAAAAGCAATCTTTTATAGGCTGAGGTTGTGGCTCAATGGCACAACATCTGCCTAGCAATCATAATTGAACCTGGGTTCAATCCCCAGTACTACCAGAAAACAGCTTCTTTAAAGAAACAAAAGATAACCCAACTAAAATATAGACTTGATTCAAATAAACATTTCTCCCAAGAAAATATTCAAATGGCCAATAAACGTAAGAAAAGATGTTCAAAATCATGAGGGAAATGCAAATCAAAACCATGAAACCCACTTCATACACGACAGATTGTCTAAAATCAGAAAGTATCAGGTGTGGACAAAGATGTTTGAAGTCCACAAGCTCTGGGCTACACAGAGTTCAAGATCAGCATGGACTATATATAAAGTAAGACTGTCTCAAAAAAAAAAAAAAAAAAAAAAAAAAGAAAGAAAAATTTTGTGTACCAGTGTAAAATAGTCTTTAAGTTATTTAGATGGGAAAACATAAAAATGGAGAGCAGTATATGAAGTGTACTATGTATTTCAAAAGAAATAGATTTCTCTACTATTTGCCTATATATGCAGTAAAAGTCCCTGCAAGTTTACATTAGAAACTGATAACAAACTAGGCATGGAGGTACATGCATATAATCCCAGCACTCAGGAGGCTGAGGCAGGAGAATTGCTGTAAGTTTAAAGCCAGCCTAAACTATATGGTGAACTACCCTGTCTAAAAAAAAAAAAAAAATTGGTGACAGAGAACTAAGAGGCTAACACAAGCATCTGCCACCATGCTCAATTTATACTCTAATTCTCATCCCAGTCCTGTCTTTTAAAAATTCTACTCACAAAAAAAAAAGTTCTAGTCATTAGCCAACAGATTGATTTCTGTACTATAGTTAAGTCATAAACATAATTTTAAAGGCTGTGACCTAAAGACACAACTGCACATTTACTCACAAAGATACTTATCAGGATGTTCACTGTGATAAAAAAGACAAAAAAAGAAAAGCTGGACAAGTGAGGCATATGCCTGTGAGCCCAGCACTCCAGGAGTATGAGACAGAAAGATTATAAATTCAAGCCTAGTCTAGACAATTTAACAAGACTATTTAAAAGGGCTGAGGATGTAGGACAGTGCTAAGGCCCTGGGTTCAAGCCCCCATTTTCTTCCCACACACACTGTCATGTTACCAAAAAAAAAAAGCAATGAAACAGTCCACCAGTAAGGAAATGTATAAAATTTACCATATTCATATGATTAATACATAATTTAGGGGCTGGAGAGATGGCTCAGTGGTCTAAAGCACCTACTTAGAACAAGCTTGGCAAAGCACAGGGACCGCGGTTCGATCCCCCAGCACCACATGCCAGCCAGCCCGCCCCCTGGTGGGCTGAGCTGGCCACACACACACACACACACACACACACAATAAATAAATGTTTAATAAAAAAAAAGAATGAAATTTAAAAAAATACATAATTTAAAAGAAAAAAAAACAGATATACATATTAAAGAATGCTGACTTTTAGTTAAAAGTAAAAGAAAGGGGCCAGGGAGATGGCTCAGTGGAATAAGCGCTTCCCTGGCAAGTGCAAGGATGAGTTCAATCCCTGGTTCTGAAAGGAAAAAAAAAAAAAAAGCAAAAGAAAATGAAAAGAATCCTCTGCTTTATGCCATCCAAGTTGAAAGCTAAAATCTCCTTGAATACTAAAAAATAAAACAGTCATACTAAACTCTATTTTGGCTAACATCTAAAGAATTGTTCAGTCTAGCATGTATGAGAAGTCTTTCCAATCTTACCTTCTCCCCTGCCGGCTTCTCCACGATGAAAACTTCACTCCAGATCTGAATCCCGGTGGTTTCTGGGTCAGAACCTCCCCTCCATGAAAATCCTGTTAGTGGTTCTTCTGGGTCACCCAACCAATTTGAATGACCACCTTCCTTCTACAGAAGAAATAAGAAATTTCCATTAAATGTGTGTGTGTGTGTGTGTGTGTGTGTGTGTGTGTGTGTTCACACTGGAGATCAAACTTTGGGCTCTGTACCTGCTAAGCAAATGCTGTACCACTAAGCTACACCCTTAGCCTCCTTATTAAGTTTAAATATGTAATCTTATACAGTAAGGATAATTCATGGTCTTATTTTACACATAAATGTCTCTTTTTCTTCCTTCAAATGAACTAATTCCTCCTTACCTGAGAATATAAATATCGGAGCATGAAATCCAGAATGAAGGACTTGCCCTTGCGGAAGGCACCAGCCACAGACACCACCACAACATCAAGATCTCGGACATGGTCCTGTAGGAGGATGCTGGCCAAGGCTTTCTCTTCTAGCTCAAAGGAATGTTGGTCTTTGTGAACCAAAACAACTTGCACTGGCCCAGGCCTTCCACTCTCCATGGCATCACCTATGTTAATGTAGAGGAAAATTAAGTTAATTAAGTTAGCTTCCTATACACATATATCTTTTTTTAATATCAAGAGAGAAAAACTTTCATAAACAGCACAAATACATTAACTGTACAAGGAAAAAATGACAATTTTTACCTCTTTAAAATTAAGAAAGTTCAGCCAGGTGTGGTGGCATATGTCTGTAATCCCATGTATTTGGGGGCTGAAGGATGAGAACCCCAAGTTCCAAACCAACCTAGGCAATTTAGCAAGAGCCTGACTCAAAAAAAAAAAATAAAAAGGGTTGGGGCCAGACATGGTCATACATGTCTATAATCCTAGCACTTAGGAGCCTGAGACAGAAGGATCACCATAAATTCAAGGCAATCCTGCTCTACATAGTTCAAGGCAGGCCTGAACTACATAGGGATACCCTGTCTCAAATGGGGAGGGGAGTATTTGTGGAATTTCACCTGACTTGCTGCTAAGCGATGAAGCCCTGAAAAACAGTAGAAAGGTATCTCACGCTACATCAAAAATACCTATGAAGGGGCCAGGGAGATGCTCAATAAAATAAGCGCTTGCCTGGCAAACGCAAGGACCTGAGTTTAATCCCCGGTTCCACAAAAAAATAAAATAAAATAAAAATACCTATGAAATAAATAATGTGGCCCTTTTTAAAAGCAGTTCTGATTCTGGCAGAGATGGCTAGTCATTCCCCCCATTATTTATTTGTCCCTCCTGGTATGCAATAGATATTTAGCTGGGCATATAACTGTCTAAAAGAAACAGTTCCAAATCAACTTTGTAGCTGGAGTATGACTATGAGACTATGTTCTCACCAATAGGAAGTGACTGGAGAACACACAGGCAACTTCCAGGTCAGGCGTTTCCCACTTCCTGCTGGCTGGTAGTAGAGGCAGGAATGAGTCATCTGGGTGAGGTACACTTAGGCAACACCCAGAACACTGGAGCAAGGCAAGAGGCAGTGTCCTAGGACTATATGCCCAGATAATGGTTCACTTTTATGTGAAAGAAAAATGTCTCCCTTGTTTAAATCATTTATTTGAAGACTCAGATACAGGCAAACCTAGCAACCTATTTCATTATTACAGTTTACAGTCAGCAATGTGAACATGATACATAGTTATTATAATGATACATAGCAGGCACACAATACGCAATTGTAAAATAAGTGAATGATGCATATACTTGACAGTTACAACACTAAGGATGTAGGTGGCATCTGTCAGAATCATAGATGTGGGAGAAAAAATTACAAGCTACAGGCAAGTTGAAATAATCCAGTGATAAAAATGTATGCAGTTGTGCACAATGAAAAGTTGAATACTTACATGGACGCTTCAACAAAAAAAAAGATAGTTTATATTCTTGTTTTGCTCCTTGTAGCACAGTACTCAAGACAGAGTGAAAGGAACAAGCCGTATTTTAGTGGGAGAGTTGGGATGAGCACGCATTTCCCATACTTAGCAGGGTTAAGAGTCATCAGCACCAGAAGGCAAGGTGGCACATGCCTGTAATTCCCAGCATCATTTTGGGAGGATGAGGCAGGAGAAAAGAAAGTTTGGATAACTTTGTGACTTAGTGAGACCCTGTCTCAAAGATTAAAAGAAAAAAAAAAGGCTGAGGATGCAGTTCAATCAAGAAAAAAAAAAAAAAAGAAAAAAAAAAAAGTCATCAATACCCACTGGATGAAAAAAAAAGATTCCTTTGGTTTGGGCCATGTAAAAAGGAAATACCATTTTTGAACTGTACACACCACCAAAAATTCAATTCCTTTTTTCGTTTTTAGGCCAGGGTCTCACATGGTGGCACACACCTATAATTCCAGCACTCAGGAGGCTGAGGCAAGAGGTTTGTCACCAGTTTGAGGCCAGCATGGACTACACAGTGAGTTCAAGGTCAGCCTGAACTACCAGCAAGACCCTATCTCAATAAACAACAACAAAAAAAGAATTTGATTTTAAAAAGCGAGCTGCTAACTTTTATCTCTGGCTTCATAGAGACAATAGCACTATATCTGTCATACAAAATTTTCATGTTAACTCCCCTTTCCAAGTGTCATATATTGCTGATGCCTGATTTATCCTAATATCACAGACTCCCTCATCTTTTAGGTCCCTTCATCAAAATTTTAGGGGAGCCTAGCCTAGCAGCAAAGCAATATTCTGGGATACTGAGGCAGAAAGACTGCAAACTGAAGCCATGCCTGAGCAATTTAGAACTTAGTGTGACATTTTCTCAAAATAAAAAATAAAAATGGACTGGGGATGTAGCTCAGGGCAAAAGTGCTAGGTTCAATCCCTAATGCCATCTTCTAATCTTGCCAGTCACAATAATCATCCAAGTCACCATTTCCAAACCTTATCTCACCCCTCAGGTCTGACCACTCTTACTCCATTATACCACAAAGCATATCATGACAGCCCCTACACAAAAGTCTAACAGTCTAGGGATGTACTGAGTAACAGAATGCCTGCTTAGCATGTGCAAAGCCTCAGCCAATCCTAAAAACCACACACACACAAAAAAAATTTGTGGACTGCTGATTCAAAGCCAAAATCCACACTCTGTAAGTCAAACTCATCATTCTCCCCATGGTCTTATTTTTTCTTAATTCCTTACTCTCACCATCCTCCAGAAAAATTTATTCTTATCTCAATTATTCTTTTCTATTGAAAAGTTTGGATTCAGGCCCTGTCTGGATTCTAAAACTTCAAACATACAACCTATGTAACAATGCCTCCCCAAGGCCTGAAATGCTTCTTCCTCCTCAACCCTCCTCATTTACATGTATTTTTTTAATTTTTTTCTTTTTTTAAATAGGCTCTACAATAAAGTTAGGTAGGGTCTAAATCTTGACTTTCTCCCCTCTGAAATGTAAACTCTGTAAGGACAGGAATTTTCTCTCATTTTTTCAATGTTCTATCTCTGAAGTTCTCAGAACGGTGCCCACACATTGCAAACAATCAACTAAAAAATTATGGAGTAAATTAGTAAACTCTACTACCTGGTCGCAATGTGATTTGGGAGGGATTTTTTGGTTTTTTTGACAAAGGGTCTTGTTATGTAGTTCCAGATGGCTTAAAACTCACTATGTAACGCAGGCTGGCCTCAAACTTGTGGTAATCCTCCTGCCTCAGCCTCCCAAGTGCTGGAATTATACTTTCTACCAGAGACCACCATCCTTGGCCTCTGGTAGAAATTTCCATACACTTTTATCTCTATTTATAAATCTAATACCATCTCAAAAAATAGTACCAGACATACACTAGGAATTCAATGATCAGTTTCTCCTTTGCATATGCCTGTTTCACTGAAACTCTCTATTATACATACTATTATTCCACTCACTATTGTATTGTAATTAAGACATATCAACCAATCATAAAGTAGGCAAATGAACAGAATAGACACCTCATGAAAGAAGTACAAATGGCCAATAAGTCTATGAGAAAATGTTCAATATCTTTAATCGTCAGAGAAAAACAAATCAAAATTACACTGAAACTCCATTCAGAATGGTTATTACCAAGAATACCAAAAGCAATGAATGCTGGTTAAGGATGCAAGAAGTGTTTCACACTGTTGGTGGGAATGTAAGATAGTAGAACCCACTATGGAAATCAGTGTGGTGATTCATCAAGAAACTAAACAGAAAAATAATATTCAATCCAATTATCCCACTGCTAGCTATATACCCAAAACAAAATCAGCATATCACAATTGAAAAATATTTGTTATAAATAAACAATTTTTTTAAAAAAATTATTCAGGTATATATAGTGGTGAAAGTCTCAATAGCTAAGCTGTGGAAACAGCCTAAATGCCTGTTAACAGATAAGTGGACAGAGAAAGGGCAATATATTCAAGGTTTTTTTTTTCTTTTTGAGACAGGACTCTATGCAGCTCAGGCTGGCCTTGAGCTCACTTTGCAGCCCAGGCTGGTCTAGAACTCACAATGATTCTCCTGCCTCAGCTCCCAAGTGCAGGGATTACAGGCTTGAGCCACCATACCTGGCCACACCTAATTAAATGAAAAATGAAAGCAATCTAAGAAGTAGACTTTGGAGATGGGGAAGGGTATGGGGACAAAAGACAAAAATCCAAACACTGAACAGCTAAAGCAAGAGGACCACAAGTTCCAACCCTAGCCTGGGCAATTTAATTATACCTTTTCTTAAACACAGAAAAAGGGCTGGGGCTATAGTCTTTCTGCTAAAGGCCCTGGGTTAATCCCCATGATTGCAAAAATTCAACAGGACAAGATTTGGGTTTGCGAACAAAATAGAAAAACATAAATATATCCAAACATGGTGGCACATGCCTGTAATCTCAGCAGTCAGGAGGCTGAGGCAAAAAGCTCAAGATCAGCCTGGGCTACACAGTGAAATTACAGTCAGCCTGAACTGCATATAAGATCCTGTATCAAAAAATTATACAAGGGGGCCAGGGAGATGGCTCAGTGGAATAAGCGCTTCCCTGGCAAGCGCAAGGGTCTGAGTTCAATCCCCAGTTCTGCAAAAAAAAAATAAAATAAAATAAATAAACAAATAAAGCTTAGTCAGCCTTTTCTGTCTTACACAAAACATAAACCCCAAGAAATTCTATCATAAAAAATGATGAAGGCTGGGAATGGTGACACACACCCTTAAGACCAGCACCTAGGAAGCTGAGGTAGGACCATCACAAGTTTGAGACCAGCCTTGGCCACAAAATATGGTCAAAGCCAATCTAGATTAAATACCAATAGCAGCCACGTCCTGTTGCACATGCCTATAACTGCATAACTCGGGAAGGTTCACATAGGAGGAACACAAGTAGGCCCAACCTGGGCAATCTAGTAACTTAGCAAGACCAGGACTCAAAAATGAAAAATAAAGGGGTAAGCATATAGCTCAGCTCCAAAAGCCCTGGAATACTACAAAGTAAAATAAAAATTATGGGGGAAAAGTTTAAATGTCCCCTCAAATACTTCAGAAGACCATCTGACAGT